AGCTTTATTCATTCCTTCTGTAATTTATAAACAGTCATTGAGTACTTCTGGGCCTTGTGTTAGGTGCCGGATATGTAAAAATAAAAAGGACATGGTCTCTGCCTCTATGACATTAGTCTCCCCACTAGTTTATTAGGAGTACAAGCACAAAGAAAAAGGCATATTTGGTGTTTAACAACTGGCTCTGAGAGCAGGGGGAGGCCCTCATTTGTGACATTTGTTGAGTTCTGTGATGTGAAAACTCCCCCCAACCATCTTACAAACTTGGTGAATATTGTAAGTAGTGCTCTCCAAATTTTAAGTCAGTAGGCAGAACTCCCCTCCCTCTTCCTACAATTACTGCTCTTAGAATCTTCCGTACAGAGAAGGGAGATAAAATCCCTAAGTGTTAAAACAGCAAAGAAGCCACAGAAATATCTGAGTGCAGGCAAGTGCTTACTAATTTAGGAATTTCAGAATGGGCATTAAATTTCTGAGGCTGTGATACTGAGTATAGATATAAACACTTCATACTTTGCCTTTACTTAAAAAGGAGCCAATATTTTTTTCTTGTTTAGGAGAGAAAACATTAAATCTGAACTTAAGAGGAAATTAATTAAGCAGTGATAGGTCTCAGACATATACTTAAAATTGTAATTTTCATAACTCCTTTTTCTGAAAAATACTTCATACTCATTCTTGCTATGTACAATATTATACACACACTTCAATTTTTTTTGAGGCTAGTTAAAATTACAGTTGAGCTAAATGTGTATAAAACCTACCGGGCATGCCATGGAATTAGTGATCACAAAACTGAAGGTTTTTCCCTTTTTCAGGTAAAAGCAGTTCACAGTTACATTCGATTATTAAGAAAATTGTAGAGAATGAAAGGTTGTTGCTTCTTTAAAACCAAATCTACCTTTTCTATATCCTCCCTATGCATTAGTAAAATTGAAAAGTGTAACACTTCTAATGTGTTTATCCTTTTCTTCATATGGTCTTTTTCTCATGAGAAATCATTTTCTCTCTCATAAGTCAAAAGTCCCTCTGTACATGCCACAAACAAGAAATATTATCAGAGTTCTTGCACATGAATACAGGTATATTCCTTAAACAGACGTTGAAAATTGCCCTGAGACAGCACCTGCTATTTACAAAAACTTGAACCAAAAGTCAGAAAAACTATGTTTAGCACAGATGTAGGCAGACTTTTGGGTTACCCTGTATTTATATCCTTTATCTTCAGCATCCCTCTTACATAAATAGGAGCAGGTGGTGGTATCCCCATTTAACATATAAACTGCAGCACAGAAAATTCATGCATCTCTTTCCAGGACGAGGCTGAAATTGAACCCCAGTTTCTTGACAGCTGGTCTTGACACAGTGACAGAGGGCCATAAATAATTTCATATGTAAGTTTAAAATCAAAAGTAGTTACTTAAAATGAGTAATAATGTTAACATTAAGCACAGATTAGGTTTAAAGTATTTATACTAGAAAAAATGTTTAGTTCCCTTTATTATTTTTAGAATAGTAATATTCCTTCCCCCCTTTTCTGCTTTTGCAAAGTAGAAGGAAGGAGGATTAGTGGATAATTATATTGCTGTGATTGCAGCACCTGTGTGTTATTTCTTTTGATTGGCTACTTCTGTATTAAAGATTCCTACCAGCTGAAAGTCTCCCTCATCAAGTGGCATTTTATTAGCTAGTTTTGGCTTGGGTTGTTTTAAATTTACAACAAAAACCTTAATTCAACATAGACTTGTACTTTAAATTTTGCTTTGAATTTCTTTACCATTCCCTATCTATCATCTCACCCATTTCATTTTTTTTAATTTCAATGCCAATGGCAACATGCAGTCACAGTAGGAATATAGCTTGAGCTATCCTGTTGTTGCTAGTGATCAAGTTTGTGTATGCCACTCAATTTATAGGTACTAATAACTCTTCCCTAGAGAGTTGCCTTTTAAGGGATAAGTGTCTGATCTATTATGAGGAGATATAGGAATTAACTGCTTTGGATTATGGTTACCATTGCAGATGCTAACAGCACTGTTTTTGACTGATTTTATCATCTCAATCACAAAATATCCTGTTTATGGACTCAGAACTGTGGTTTAAGTAGAGTTCCTTATATCTCTTTAACGTATGTTTTTCTAGAAGCGGGGGGAGGAATGTAAGTACTATAGATTAGGGTGGTTTGTTTCGATGTTGTTTATAAAGAATATTTAGCTTTTCAAAGGTGACTTACCATAGACAGCAGCCCAAAAAGGAAACTTTCAGACATTAGCCTGCCTAATTTTTGATAAGTGCTACGGTTTTTCATTTAAATTCAACCATTAATGATTGTTTTCACTGACTCTGCCACCTAGACTTGAACTTTTAAAAATCTTTTAGAGCATCATTTTCCTTAATGAAGATTTTTTTGTAATTAAAAAAATACATCCCATGTTTTTATACAAAATGAATACATTATAGCTGGGTAATTTTAGTTTATATAGCTTTATATTTGAGTTTCTTCAGAGTTTTGTAATAGTGAAATAGAATTATACTCCAGATGTCTTTTATGTAGATATTCATTCCTTTATTAAATTTTACTACACTGGAACTATCCTCCCGGCTTTAGAAATATTAACATTTGCTTTCTGTCTGCCTAATTTTTTGTGTCAACTCTAAATATAATAAGATGAAGTAAAATACTTCATTTATAGGCCCTCTGAAAGTAGAGCATTTTAAAAGCAGGTAGGTGTCTCCACCCTACTTTTCATGAAGCATTTTACCCATTCAAGCAGACTTTTAAAAACAGCTTGTTTTGATAGCAGACTGTTCTCCTGTGGGCCTCCAGCCTTTGCTTCCTGGCAGCACCTTTGGTGCGAAAAGAGAGTGATCAATTGGGAGACTATCAGTGCCAGCATGCATAGAGTGATAAGTTAACACACCACTGGGAATTTCTAGGGCCCACCAAGATACTTCACTTCTAATGTGCTAACAAGCTCATTTTTCTACCTCTTGCCTCTTCAGTTATTTTTTTTCTCAGAAGAGCTTAGAAGTTGAGTGCATCAGGCATAATGAAAAGCTCTGTAGGAGGGAGAAGCAATAACCCCATTTTTCCCTTTTCAGCCAAATAGAAAATTAGTTTCTGGTAATACACAAAGGCCAGTATTTTTTGTACAAGGGGCACTGCTGTGAATCAAAGGACTCTATTAACTGCAGAAAATTCGGCAGCTGTGAATCTCCCCCAATGAAAAAAGTACTTCCCAACAAGTTGTGAGATATGTGGTATTATTTAGATTGAACCATCAGTTTCATCCTCTGCCACTTATAACCATATACCTCCTTTTTAAAGTGTGCTCTATTACTTTTCTAAGATAACATTCAAAAATACCTGTTTCTTCCATAAAATCCTTTCCACTGATCATTTTAATATAGCGTCTTCTCCTGAGAAGTAGAATTCTTCAAAGTTCAATCCCAGTGTACATAATTGAAAATAATGGATTACAAGAAATTGGAATTCAGATTTCAATATTTAATGCATAAAATAAATTGTAATTCGAGAAGAGAGTACTCAAGCCATTTAGAGGGCAAAAGACATCACAGTCTAAGTACCTAATGAATATAGTCTTACCTTTAACTCTTAGCTTTTTTCCTCTTCTTAATCAATAACCTTTTGTAAATGTAACTATGGCTGTGTTAGCTCCAGTTGAATTATCACTTTAAATTATCTTCCTTACCAGTTTCTTTTGTTGCTCTTGGTTGTAGGCTTAGTCTACAATTTCTGAAAATGAAGAGCTACAGTAATTGAATTGCAGTTTTAAAAAAAGAATAAAGAGTTCTGAGGAAAATATATTATAATGGGTTTTGGAAAAAAATTCAGTGAAGAAAGAAAAACCCATAGGCAAATTTTTATTAGCCTTCCTACTTATATAAATGTCTTCTGCAAAGCCTGTCAACATAGCACACTGATACAGCAGGACAACTTTTAAAAGTTGTACAAGGAAGGTTAACTGATTTCTCAGTTCAGGAACGATACGACATGAAGTCAGCATGCGAGTTTCCCTGATAATTGTATGTTGCTGCCTGCTGCTCTGCATCTTGACAGCCATTTCCATAGCTGCTTTCGTGAGCGACAGAAGTATTCTCTCCCTTTCTCGCCCTCTCTGTGCTAACAGCACAATCAGGCCTGCTGAAACAGGAAGCCTGGAGTGGGTTGTTCAAAAGCAACAACACTTCAAGGTACTGGTTGCTTGTCAATAATATCAGAGAAGAAGACGTGGTGAAAGGGAAGTACAGTATTTTTCTGTCAGTGTCAGTGCCCTGTAGATGCTTTGTTAGACAGTATTTAGGCGTCCTGTGGACTCTTTGCAAATATTCCTGCTTGTTTCAGTGTTATAATTGACTAGATATTTCTTCCTGACGTACAGATTCAACTATATATTTATCTTAACCACATGGAGTTATTCGAGGATTACAGCAACAGTAGTCTTCCATTCAAAATGAGAACAATTGTTGGGAAAATACAAGGATTTTAGAAAAAGAAGATATGCAGGAATTTCTCACAATAAGCCTTTTTATAAATGAAAAATATAGAATTACAGTATTTTAAGCAGCATTCTAATATTTATCGTGTGGCTTTGCAGAGTAAATCTGCAGATTGAAGCCAATTTAACAAGATAAAATGAGCCTAGGCTGACCTGATAGCAGTTGAATCCTTTCTCAAGTAAATGGTTACCTTTCTTTCTTCCAACAGGTTAGTATTATTATCATTGTTTTCTAGTAAATGTCTCCCTCTTAAGCTGCCGTGTATAGTGGTATCACCCAAAAAGTCACCTTTTAACTTATGTTAAAAACTATTTTTTTGCTCCTTAAAAAGCCATACTTTTAAATGATATGTAAGAGTAGTGAATAATGACATTTATTAAGAAGTAATGGCTTAGCAATCTGAGTAGTCCTTTTTGATAAGATCTGTTCTTTTCCACTGTAAGCTACATTTAAGTACATCCTTAACTGAAGGGAATCAGCTATGAAGAGAGAGCACGCTACCTGCAAACAATTGTCCAGCACCATTTAGAACCAACGACATTTGAAGATTTTGCAGCACAGGTTTTTTCTCCAGCTCCCTACCATCATTTACCATCTGATGCCGGTAAGATTAAAAGCGAGTATTAGTTACTTGTCACTACTGGAACTTGAAATGCAATACCCTTTTGTCCTAAACTCTTAAAATAATAGAAAACTTGCTTGAATGAAATTCCAGTTATTGAAATACATTTTTCATTTTTTAAGAGTTAATTTGGCCTGTAAATTTAATTTATACTTTCTTTTACCTAAATGCAGTTCCTTGAGAAGTCAACAATCTTCTTAAAAGTACATGCACCACATTTTATCTGAGCTACTGGCCAGTGACTGTTGTGTTTCATGGGATCATTACTGAAGTGTCTGCAAAAGAAACACAAGTTGAGCACGTACTCTCTCTCACCTTTAGAGGATCATATTTTATGGCCAAGAATATTGCCTTATCTCTAATTTTACAAATAAAGTTAAACAACTGTCTAGATTTAGGAGTGGTTGGTACAGTAAATTATTTTATGATACTTAAAGACTGTAAGAGGGTACTGCATTTTTACAATTAACTAATTTTGAAAAAATCAGTAAGAAAATAAATGACTCATGGCCTTCCTTTTCTGTGATACTTTGCACTCCTTATGATTGTTTCATTTATTTTATTTTCCCTCTTTAGATCATTAAATATCAGTTCTGTTTATCTGAAGGTAAGACAAAGTGTCAACCAAAACACCCTTTGTTCTTCCCCCATTTCCTTTTTTAAAAACTAGCAAGCACTAAGCTTGTAACTCAAACAATAAGCAAACTTAACATTGCCCTCATTTATACTAAACATTTCAGAAATTGTCACTAAATTTCTTCCAGAATTATACTTACTAACCCAGGTCTGCATGAAACACTAACCCTGGTTCTGGGATAAAAATAACTAATAATTAGAAGCAACCCTTGGTTGAAATTAGTTAGATCTTGTTGTATTGCCTTTTTTTGTTTCTCAGCATGAAAAAAACTAGTACTACTGAGCTGAAATGGTGTGTCTTTGTATTTTGTAATGTGTTGCGCATTGTTATTGGATATCTTAACTCATCAGATACTTACTCTGTTATGTGCCTTGTACTATACTAGGCACCTGAAATACAAAGATGACTATTTTAATGGTGTTCAAGGGAACAAGAAAAAATAATACGATATATTTGAAGTTCATCATAAGAAACCTTAAAATTCTCTTTATGATATGTAAGTTTTCTTCATATTAAATAAGTTTAAGAGGCATAGTAGTCCTTTTCTGGCCTCATTTATTTCGGGGGAAAAAAAAGGCTAATTCTCAATTGAGATTTAGTTGATAAAATTAAAGTTTCCATTCCTGTCTTCATTTAATTGGCCATTATAAAAATAATCTTACCAAAAAACTTAGAGCCCTTTCCAAATTAATATAAAAGACCTAGCAAAGAGGAAAATTATGTAGACTAGGTTGAATCTTTTGAAAGAGAAAGAGATTAAAAAGTCTTTAGATTCACTTCAGTGGATCAACAATCTAAAATAACTCAGTTTGGCATTAAGAATGATGCTAAAAAAAAATACTAAAAGTAAATTAACAACAAAATAAAAACTAGTTAAGTACAACTGGAAATTTCATTTTTTAGTAAGAGAGAATATCTGAAAAATACCAGACTACATTATTAAAGTAGGTATGAATAACACTTTCATATATCACATAGTTGAATCATAAGTTTCACAGGCGAAAATATTGATAATAGGACCACATTCAGATTAACTTCCCCCTTAAATTGATAAAAGCCATCAGTTTTCATGTTGTAGTTGTTTACCAACTGGAGTCCTTCACATTCCTCTTCTTAATGTTCTTATATTGTGCATATTATCCTGCACATTTGGTCAGATATATAATATGGGGAGTAGTATTCTCGCTTTCTGAGACACAGCAACAAAGTCAAGGTTCTGTTGGCTTCATTTTTCATGTATTTTACTACTTTATTAAAATTTCATTATCTCAGTAATGAAGATATGAATTTTAACATAATACTATGCAACAGATTATTTTCAGTTAATTTTTTTAAGTTGTCTTTGCCCTTAAGAATCATTATAAAAACTTGCACCCTAAGTTTTAGAAGGATGTTTTTATCTGTAAATAACTTAGTCCAGTATTACTGAATACATTCTTGGGGTTTTTCTGGTTTGGTTTTGTTTTGTTTTTTGCAGACTTTAATACTTAGGAAAAATAAAATATTTTTATCAGAGTGGTTCTCAGTTCAACACAATACTAAGAAAGTGAGATATTTGCTCCTTCTATAGTAGCAAAAACATTAAGATATCTGAAGAATGATTATCTTTTTCTTCCTATCATCTCAGATTTTGATTATCCTATCATAAACCACTCCATACAATAGAACTTCCTTTAAAGTTGTAAGTCAAGGTGGGAGAAAGTGAAATAACCACATAATAGCAATAGGAACCTGACTTATGGTTTGCAAAAATTACATAATAGTGTGAAGTTTTTTAGGTTCATTTTTACTTTTTTAGCATAATGATAAAATTGTCACATTGAAGAAATGCATTCATAATTGCAATTGAGAATCAACTTTAGATTCTCCTTTGCATATTCCATGTATATAAGATAGCACTAATTGATAACAAATGCAATAATTTGAAATTAAGTTTTAAAGAAATGCCAGTATGATCATATAATGAATATAATCTGTTCTTTCTAACCAATCCTATTATATAATTCTATTCTGCGGAATAGTCTGGAAAAATACCTTTTTTTTTTTAAGTTTTAATAACTTGGTTCAAGATTATCTAAAACCTGCTTTCTGGTTAACACTAATGTACCAACTGTTTGAATTGAAATCCAAGAGAGGATTCTTCTGGATAATTTTTAGTATTATTTAAATAAGTATAAAAAACATTTTTGGTGTATCATAGTTGATCCATAAATTTCATAACTGTATTTTCTCAAAATGGACTCTGTGACAGTAGACTGATACTTAAGGGAAATTATTTTTATCCCTAAGGTCATTGAAGGAGATATTGTGATGTCACACTTTGTTGATCTCCCATAACTACATTAAACCATTATTAGATTTTTCTTGTCCTTTATTTAAAAAAAAAATTACAGGAAAAAAAATCCCTTTATCTTTGTCAGGCATGTGTGTGGAAAATATCAAAAGTTTTACAGTGACCTCCTTTTTAAACTTTTTTTATATTCATGAACATCTCTCCTCTGACTCTAAACTTTAAAATGAAATTACTCCTTTTCTTCGCCAAATTACACTGGTAACCAGTTCAAAACCTAGATATTTTTCTCTAACATTAGATTCAAGTCTTTTTTTTCTTTAATAAAAGAAATTCTAGAATGCCAGCAACAAGAAACAGGATATTTTGCTGAAAGTACACAGTAAATATTGTCTTCCTCCATGTCAACATCAAAAATACACCCATAATTTTTTCCAGTATTAATGTCTTTTTTTACTGTCATTAGCCACAAATATTTTTGAATGCTTATTGTGTAGTGTATCTAGAATTGCCTCTAATATTTTGTTATTTTAATTGAGTGGATATTGCCCTTTGGATTTATTGTTTTTCTACAAATTAAGTTAGAAATTTTAGCACTCTAAATATTAGAGGGTTGGTTGGTGTTTTTCTCTATTATGCATATATACACATACACACATAAATATACTTATATCTCTACATACAGACCAATTACCTTTAGGTTCCTTTAGGTTACATATAGTTTCCTATTTAAATAAATGAAAATTAGTAGTTAGATTGAACTATTTCTATGCCATCAAAATAAGAGATAATCTAGATAAAATGATGAAGACCTAGAGTAGCATCTAATCTTCCTTCTAATTTCAGTTTTGCTCCTAATTCACAAAATCTGTATTGCCTCATGTAGATGGGATAGTATTATGATGGTCAGATCTCTCTCTTTGAATCTTCAAATGGGATAAATCATCAAAATTTAACTATTGCTTCAGGTAACCTCTTGAACTTGGTGTCCCTCTTTAAAAGTTATTTTAAACTTTCCTCCCCTTCCCAGGCTTTGAAATGATCTGAAAGAACACGTTGTAGCTCCTCAGAAGATAGTTATTTTATATATATCCTAAATATTATTTGTAAGTGCCAGTAATCGGTTTCCTTCAACATATAACAGAAGCTATATATTTGTTTACTGCGTTTTTAAAACAGATTCCTAATCATATGTATCACCAGGCTAGCCTGAAATTAGAAGCAGCCAAATTGTATCCTGTTTTCAGGATTTTGAACTTGAAAATTTGGCTTATTATGTGTTGTTGTCCAAGAGGCAAATAATATCAGTCTTAAAGTCCCATTAACCTTTTGTGACAATAATTACTAGGATCAGTTTCCACATAGAACATTCATTCAGATGTAAAATTTTTATAATGAAAATAATAAAAGAATAATCGAACAATTACTGAGTGCTAGGCACTGTGCTAAGTACTATACATGCATTCTCTCATTTAATCTTCATGGCAGTTCTATTGCAGGGGGGTGGGGGGAGCTTACCCAGAGTCACCTGATTCTTGGTAAAGCCAGAGTGTGACTTCAGAGTCAGACTATTATATTTACTATTATATTACCTATGTAATTACCAATGTAATCTAAATATTTTCAGTCCCTTCTTGCTGTTGAGAGAAATTGCCCTACAACCTGTCATATTTATAAATTAGAAATTGTTAAAGATTCTTATTTAAAGACTCTATTTTTCCACCCACTGAAAAAAATCCTTTTTTTTTTTTTTTCTTAATAGCTAAGGTTGCCATGGGAGAAGTATGGAAGAATCAGACTGTGATCTGGATTTAAATCCTAGTTCTGTTATTTATTATCCACAAAACCCAGTTTCTCTATTTGTAAGGAGATAAAATATGACCAGCTTTAGACTAATATGTTCTAAGTCTGCAATAATGGCAGTTTTTTAATATTTTCAAAATGAAACCACTTTGTTTGCCTGTATTCCTGTACTGTTTAATTTTAGGGGTGCCTGGCTGGTTCAGTCAGTAGGGTTCAGTAGTAGACCCTTAATCTCAGGGTCATGAATTCAAGCCCCATGTTGGGCATAGAGATTACTTAAAAAAATAAATTATATATGGTTTCCTTTATGACATCCAGTGGTGGTGCATACATGCTAATCTTAATCACTAATCAACTCCTTTAACATTATTAAAGCAGTAAAATTATTGGGGTAGTCTATAAACTTTAATAAGTAAGGTTATATTTTGTAGGAATATCAGCGTAAGAGTGGATAAGTCCTTTAACGTCCTCAAAACTAAACAGTATATTCTGTTCTCCACATTTCAGTGGTTATATTTTGTAAGTGGTCATTTTCTTCAAAAAACATTTCTAACTTCTGTCTCTTCTAATCCTCATCTGTTCTGATCCAAAGTCTATTAAATTTTACTCTTCTCTGTTTAGTAGCTTTATTATATAGCTAAACTTATTGTGTAGCTACTGTGTGCCAGGATCTTTGCATATGTAGTCATTTCATCCCTCACAACTTTGAAAAATAACTACTGTTTGTCTCCATTTTACAAAAACAAAAGAAAACGAAAAACCTCTTAGATCAGTTTGCCCAAGATCCAACAGCTAGTAACATGCCAGATTTGGCATTTAACCTGGGCCTGTCTAACCCATGCCCATGTTCTTCCTCACACATCACAGTGCCTCTTAGTTCAGTATTCATTGGAACTACTTTCAAAGTCACAATATTTTTTTAAAGGCTATTTACCCAATAACTAGCAGTTTTAAACCAGTCATACCTGTCAGCAAGCAGTACAAACAAAGCCACAATAAATAACAATCCATTGAGTTCCCTTTTATAATGTGTATAGACTCCCAAAGTCATATTCAGCATGTTATTTGTAATAGTTAATTGTAACCAGGGCACAATATATAAATCAATTACACCATCAAGATAAAGCGTGTACTGAGTACTGTAAGAATGTTAGAGATACAGTATGAACAAACATAGGAGCCTATAGATAACTTTCCACCTGAGGATATATTAATAATAGAAGTGATTAAATAAAGCAACATTCTTTATGACTCACGTGAAGGAAATCAATACTTGGGCAGAATAGGGTGTGAAATGAAGGGTAGGTATCACTGTATTCTTTACATCTAAAATTGAGACCTATCCACTGTAAAGTATTTATAGTTTGAATATGCTGCGTATATACCATAAATATCATTTGCCAAAACGTAAGGAGGTACTGATAAGCTATATACCACACACTAAAAAGCCTGATTTGACTCTCAGTTCATTGAAGGGGGGCGGATTTCACACTGCAGGCAGTAAGGGAGACATGGAGAAATTGCTGTTTTTGAGGGAAATATTCTTTGATTTGGGCATACCCTAAAGCAGTGTTCTCCAGTAAAACTTTCTATGACGATGGAAATGCCCTTTATCTGCATGGTCCATTTTGGTTGCCACTAACCACATGTGGCTGCTCAACACTTGAAATGTGGCTAGTACACCAAGAACCCACATTTTTATTTTTACTTAATGTTAATTTTTCATTAATTTTAATATGGCTTTGCCTACTGTCTTGGACAGTACAGCTCTGGAGATTTTATGACTTAGTGATTAGGATAAACTGCCACCAGTACAATGAACACGTTAAAAGTGATGTTTATAGAATCTCTCATAGACTTTTTTTCTTTTCTTTTTTTTCCTATTTGAACTTGTTAGTTGGTAAGTATAACATTTAAATTTACAAAGCACTGTCCATTGTGAAACAGCATCACCCTAATGCATTGCATGCCCAATTTCATAATAACTTGATTACTCTCTTCTCTGCTCCTCGGTTAACACCTGTACAATTCTGCACCATGTCTCTCATATCTGTTATCTGTCTTCTCTTTTGTTTTCTCACTTCTGCTCGCTACTCCATTTCTTCATTCACAACAAAGAAAGAAATGCAGTGATAGTTCTCTTCCTCCCAAAACCTCCGCTAGAAAACATTGGCCATCTTAAGGTAAACAGCCATGGGAAGGCCTCTCATGGTTGGCCGGGAATAATATGCATTACCAGAAAAGCATGAGCTCCCGCTCTTCACCTTCCTTCTGCCATCCATCTGCAGTGCTTCCCTAAAAAGGGCCATGGATTCATATTCTCCTCTAGGTTTTCCAGTATGGGTCCAGTATGAACCAATTCAGATCTTCAGGAAGAGTAAAGGTGAACAGAAATATATTTCCTTCTCCTTGTCTTTTGAAGGCCAGCCTCGTTTCAGTTAGAAAAGAAAGAATGTTGGAGAAATTACTTTGAAAAGAAAGGCAATTAACCTGAATTCCAAATAGTGAGAAAATATTTCTGCCTTGACTATGTTTGTTCTTAAGTATGATTATAGCATTTCACCTTAAAAACACTTTGAAGGGTTCTACCAAGATAGATTCTTAATAATACATCTCTATAGTACTCCTTATTGAACAGTTTTGATTGTTCAATATTCATAACTTCAATTTAGGCACAAATGTCTCATTAAATGGAAGTGTTAGTATGATTATTTCCATGCTTGAAATTTCTGTGAGGTGCTACATTGGCTAACAAACATGCCAAAAGTCTTCCTGCAGAGTGAGGAGATGTATAATAAGCCTGCAACCTGTTTGATGTGTGTGTATGTGACATACATAAAGAAAATGTTCACATACATAAGGCCCAGAAAATCTGGATTAAAGTGCCTTAAAATACTTACAGAATTTTTTAAATTGTAAGTTAACAGATTTTTTTTTGAAGGGCTTTTATTTTTAATGTAATTTTTATACTACGTATTTGAGAGCCTACAGTGTGCCAGGTTTTGTAGCATTACTGTATATTAGAGAATCATAATTCATTGAAATAAAGTGCAGAGGTAAAGAACTATTTTGTAAATGACACAAAATTTTCCAATTTGAATTTGTGTTTGCTTCTAAATTTTCATTATCTTAATTCTAGTTACCTACTTGCTGTGACTAGAGTAACTGCAAAAATTTAAGTTAAGGAAAAATAAAAGCATTGCTTATCTCTTCTAAATGGAGACATTTTGAGGGGTCAATTTGTGTTTTTTTATTAAATTTCAGATAAGAGTTCTTGTCCTATTCCTTCTCCCAGGAATTTATCTTGCTCCTTTCTAGAAGCATATTTAAATACCCATCATGTGTGATGTTCTCATAGTATTGAATTCCTTTTTGGAACCACTTGGTACTATTATTTTCAAGTTTGAGCAATGAAGACTCTTTTCTTGGTTATACACTGTACCCCAGAGATAGGAATTAGTCCTTCTCACCTGCTCCTTAAGCCCTTCCCTGCATGCTAATGATGCTTTGGATCTCTGTCCTGTCTGGCCCAAAGATTTTGCTTCCCATTGCTTTTTCCGAGGAGCTCTCTGGTTAGTTCTGGCTCTGGAAATAATAATTGGTACTTTCTTGCTAATATGATTACATGAGCCACCAGATTACTGGGGTTTAAATAAAATGTTAGTAGGCTGTTCTAACAGGCAAGTTTTGGTCTTGCTTTTTCCCCTCAAAAGACTTCATTAAGGGTTGGGATCCATGCTACAGATCAGTAACAGAAAGATTATTTCTTGTGGGATGAGAAGCCGGACGACTTATCTATCTTGCTATTTCCCACAGGCTCCTACCCAGAGATTCTATCCAGTGAAACTCCCACAGCAACGCAGGTAGACGGGGCTGACCTGGCCTCTCCAATGTCTCCTCGAACTAGCAAAAGCCGCATGTCCATGAAGCTGCGTCGATCCTCTGGTTCAGCCAATAAATCCTAAGGAGACAAGCAGCCCAGCAGTGTGATCAGCAGTAACCACCTTAGCATGAACATAGTGTTAACCCTTTCAGGCCTTCGTGTTTGCCATAACATGCATGTTTCTTCCTGAACATTTATTTTAGAAAACACTGGATTTAAATAATTTGTAACTTAATATTTTAGATTTGGGTTGTTTATTCAGTTGTTTTTTTCCCCCCCAACACTCTAAGCTGCCATATTTTTGGGGGGTGGAGTTTTATTCTATACCCTTTACCTTCCTGGATAATTATGTCTAAGCAGTTTCACTTTTAATTTCATGATTAACTTTGAGCCAAACTATAATTGGACAGATAGTCTCATTATTTTATTTATCGTGCCCCATTGCAACTTTATGGCTCAGTAAATGTATAATTTTTTTACAAATATAAATTTTTAAATTTAAGCATTTGTAAAGTTATAGCAAAAGTTGCAAATCTTAATACACAGGATGTGTATGGATTATTTATGTTATGAAAATAAAACACTTAAAATAAATGGTCTTTTAGCATCTCAAATTCCAGCTGACATAATTTTAGCATTAACTTTTTCTTCCCAAAGCAATGCCTCATTTCTTGGCTGTGCAGAGGATGCCATGATATATCTCATAACCAGAAAAATCACTGTGCTGAACTTTGATTTGTGTTTAGCTTCCAAATATTTTTCTAATGTTTTGCTTTTTAAATGGTATCAGTGTTAAATGCCATTTTTGTTTTGATATTGTGGCCCTGTATTATTGGCTCCTGGATCCTGGTATATCTGTGTTCTTTCCTGAGTACCAAAAAGAGGGTAATTGGGGGGATGGAGAGAAAGAAAAAAAAAAAAGAAAAAACTTTTCTGATATAAATGTGTTGCTTAAATTATGTGTAATTTAAAAGAAAAGGGAACATGACCCAGGAGTCTAAATTAAATCTAATATTATTAATAATACTGAACTTGCTGATGCAGGTTGGTATTCATTCCACCCTCCAGAAATATTTTCCTACAGTAAATAAGCTGCTCACATTTTGTCCATATTTTGTTCTGAACGGGCATCTCCTAAGGAAATGTAGCATGACATCAGTACTAACTGCATGTGTAAATACATCATACGGGCAAACTCTAAAAATATAAATTATGTATCATCATTCATGTAGTATCTACAAATTTGTAACAGTGAAAGAAAAAATATGGTATTTAATAAGACAATAAAAATATTCTTATCACTTATGTCCATGAGCGTTAATTTGTCTTTTATAATTTTTGTCTATTTGTCTTTAATATATTTTCAGACTTAATAAGCAGAACTATATGATTAATGGAGAGATATAAAGCATAAACCTAGGTTATCTTAGTAAATCATGAAAAAGGAATTTGAATTCCCTTGTTAGGAAACACCCCAACTTCTCAGAGAGAGACTCTACCACAGTCACTGAAAATGCAGGCAATCTTTCTTACACCTTCATAACGGCTGGCCAGAAACTTTACCCAGTGCACTTGGTTAAAGGATCAATTAATCTTAGCCTCATGCTTCTTTGATTTTTAAATTTTCAATATGTCTTATAATACACATTCAGGGGGGAAAAAACTTTTTGCAGACAGTTTCTAAAATAGCCTTCCAGAGTTCTGTGCACTTAAGTTTTTGTTAAAAATAAAAATAGATTGCTATGAAACTGTAGAAAATAAAATTCCTATGAAAGCTTATGTAGAAGATAAGCAAATGGAGTCCCTGAGAACAAGGTTAAACAATATTGACAGTTTCCCACAACCAAGGTGAAGAATAAAAAAGGAAAATCAAAGTAACTGCTTACACAATTTTTTTAAAAATGAACAGCCAATGGAATGATGATTTATAACAAAATTGAGTAAAAATACCAACTTGGAAATATTGTACTTAATTAGCACAGTTAACATGATTTTTTTCATGTTTAGATAAAACTACTTTTTTTAAGAAAAAATATATTTTCCGTTGACATTTTAGGTAGTAAAGTATCTTTAGATTTAAAAAGCCTTTTGGAGCTCAGTCTGTGCAAGCCATACATCAAAGGAAATTTTCCCATTGCGTTTCTGCATCACTACATTCATTTACAAAATATAATTTTCCTCCTGTCTGTATTCTAAATGGGTCACTAAGATTCTAAAGTAGGATACTGGCTTTGGGGAGATAAGAAATGTGACTTTGAAAAATAGGCTGTGTTCAATGAAATTCTCAGGACAAACACAGAACACAACAAAGTACCAGCTATGTACATTTATTTGGTGGTAAGCATCTTACAAGTATGGGCTATCTGTCAAGCAATACTCAGCCAGTGTCCCAAACTCTGGCTATTAGAGCGTGGGTACAGAGTGTACACTATGGTTTACAAAAATTCAAAAACAGGTTGCTGCTGAAAAATGAATATTGAATGAATCCCCATTCAGTTCCATAGTGGATTATAGGTATTAACATCGTCCTTAAACTGAACATAGTTTCATATATAACACTGCGTGAGATTTACAACAGAAGGATTAAACAATTTGGATGAAACCCTACTAAAACAGTCAAACTTCTGGAAATGAGTTGTGTTTCCAAAAAGCTGTTATTTAAAGTTTTAAAGTATCTCTTCCTGAAAACACACCAAAAAAGCTAAAGGTGAGAATTTTGGGGGTGTCTCAACTCCAAGTAAAGTAGCACCCTCCCCACCTCCAAACACTAACTTAAGAATGGACTAATACTTGAGAAAAGGAACGTTTACAGGGAGATCCCCACATCCCCCAAAAGCGCAAACATCCTCTTACATTTCCTGCCCGCAGGCATAGGTCTTGAGTGTTTCCCCACCCCCCCTTGTAAGTAAGTTTGGCACCAATCACATTACTTTCAATTCACAGAATATACAATGCAAGGTATCTGACCCTATTGAGACAGAAACTACATAGGCGCCTGCGATGGCAAGAGGGGAAAAACAAAAAACAACCAGAAAAAACAAAAACGACTACCACTTTTGGTAGCTAGAATCCTTTGTAGATATTGAGACATGCACGCATTCACTACGACTTTCCATAGGAATTACAAGTCATATAGGATTCGTTAGGGTCTCCAGAGTGAGGGGGGAAATCCTATTTTCGTGGGGAAAGCAAGAAGGCTTTAAAGTGACAGTCCTTGACCGCGAATGTTTATACCATATACATACCTGCTCTAGAGAGGGATTTTACATTTCGCTGTCCGCTTCTCTGGCGGAACATTGACTACTGGGAGTTTTAGGAGAGAAAAATATAGGCAGGAAAGAGGGTAAACTTGCAAATTCAAGAAATCCCCACAGAAATTCCCATGATCTGTTTCCTCCAAGGCCAACCGCACAATCTTCCTCATCTCTTTCCTCAACAGCCAGGCCGCAACGGCATCTGCAGCAGCAGTACCTGCCGACTTTCTGAGGGGTGGCACTTATTTATGTGCCGGGTCAGCCCCGGGGAGCTAAAAAAAGTGGACGGGCAGTGCTTGCACGAGAAAATTTGCTGAGCACTCCCGTCGGATGCTCCGCCTGGGCTCGGCGCTTCTGGGGGCGCCCCGGCCAGAGCAGGCAGGAGCAGCTCCTCGCGGACCGCGTGCCACAGCCGGTGTTTGTCCCTGATGTCTGCGGACGGGAAGTGCGCCCCGCACAGGGGGCAAGCGAAGGCGAGCGGGGCACCGTGTTCGGAGCCAAAGCCCGGGGCAAGCGCACGAGCAGAGCCTGCCTCGTGAGTGCCTAGGTGCTTGCGCAGATAGGCTTGGCGACGGAACTTTTTGTGGCAATATGGGCACATGAAGATCTCGGATCCCCCGACACCACTGGCACTACCTGGCCCAGGAACCCGGCGCCCCAACACCCCCTCCGTAAAGGGGACCTGAGGCAGCGGTGGCTCGGGGTGGGACAGCACCTGGAGGCCCTGGCGTGGGGTGCTGTCCTGGTGCTCCGCCCTGGAGCTGTCCCTTGCCTGCAGGTGCTGATCGGCCGCTCGCTCTGCCCGGCTGTTCTCCTTCCCCTCCGCCAAGAAAGATGCAACAGCCCCAGAGTCTGGGGAGGTGGAGGAAGACGAAGGAGGCGGCTTCCCGTCGGCTGAAGAGACTGTGGCAGCATTTGCCGCTGCGGGACGCGGTTTGTGCCAGCGGCGATGGGAGGCGAGGTTCGCAGGGCAGCTGAAGACCTTGTCGCACTCAGGGCAGCGGTACTCGACGCGTACGATGCGGGAGCAGCGGTGCTGAGCCAGAGCGAAGGGGTCTGCGTACTGCTCCTTGCATAGCTGGCAGATAAACTCCCCCAGTGGCGTGCGGCTGCCCCCCAGGCCCCGGGACGGTGCTCCCGGCTCCTCCTCCTTGATCTTCAGGCCCAGGACAGGGGACGTGGTCACTTCATCCGCGAAGCTCAACTTCCTCATGGCCTTTGGCTTCTTGATTCCCGCGGCCGCAGGTCCAGACGTACAGCCCGGAGGGGCCTTGGCACGGCGCTCGTTGCCAGCGGCCCGCTTCAGGCCGTGCAGGGTGGCCGAGAGGGGCGCAGGGTCTGGATGGAGCTCTGGCTCTGGGAACGGTGCCCGAAGCGGTAGCAGGAACTGCTCCCCCGAGGTCGGTGCAGCTGCTGGCGCCGCCGAGCAAGAGAAAGCAGCCACCGCGGCGGCACCCCCGGGGAAGGACTCTGCAGAGACGGGTGAGCTGAGGCAGCGCTCCAGGAATGCCCGGCGCAGCTCCGCGCCCGCCGGCTTCGTGGGGCTGGGGCTGGGCCCGGGACCCTCCCTACCATCCGCCCTCCACTCCGCAGCACCTTCCTGCCCGCCCTCCCCCGGGCTCACCCTAGCCGCCCGACAGGACGACCCCGACAGTTCCCGGGCCGCCGCCTCCTCCTCCAAGGTGGGGGTTGCCACCTGCTCCGCACCGGGCTGGGGGGCACTGGAAGCCTCCTCAGGAAAGGGCGGCGCCCCCTGGGGCCCCAGCCGGGGGAAAACCCGCTCAGCTAGGCGCACTCGATACGAGCCGCCTGTCCGTTTAGTTCGCTTTACCAGGAAGCCCCTCGGCATGGTGGAGTCGGGAGTGCTCAGGGGGCAAAGAGTAAAGGGGGCGCCGCGGGGGCTGCGAGCTGGCGAGCACCGCAGCTACCTGAGCTTCGCCACAGCCTTCATGCGTGGGCTGCCTTTATAGCTGAGACTCGGGGCCGGGGGACCACCGGTCGCCTTCAGGCTAGACCGGCCAATCAGGAGTGGCAGCGGGCGCCAGGGGCGGGGTTTTTGCCTGGCTGGGCTCACAGGGGTCCGAGAGGCCGGCTGCGGCCCGCGCCCCCACCCCACCTCGCAGCGGCCTCGGCGGGGCCCCAGCGGCTGGCTTAGGGGCTGCCCGTGCCGTCTCCCCGTGCCGCCCACCGGGGGGACGAAGATACAAAAAGGTAAGGTCCAGAGTGTGAGGAAGCTCGGCACTCACCGCCTCCGCTGCCTACAGGGAGGGACTGTCCAGGGAGCCAGGCGGAGAGGCAACCGATGGGAGCCTTCCTTGCGGGCCGGGACCCTGCGGCGTCCCCGACGCGAGGGACTCTGATGGAAGCCGAGAGGGAGGAAGGCGAGAGGAAGGGGCCGCGGGCGGCGCGCCCCAGGAGGCAACTGGGTGGGTGTCCGCTGGGGAACGGGTTAATGTCCTCTGCCCTTATTGAGCTGATGAGGAGCTGCGACGGAGCGGCAGGGCGGCTAAATCCACCGCCCTGTGCCTACACTTGACGGTGGGAGCACGTCTGCCATCCAGTATCGATCGACACTGCGCGCGTCTGTGATACTATGAGAATTCATCTGGGAAGAAGGGCTCTCAGTGCGGGAGATCGTGCGTGCTGGCAAGCCTCTGGAGCTCAGGACGCCAGCCGGCTTCTGGACCCTGGTCCTCAGGGCTTATCAATGTCCCCTCCCCGATGGGAAAAGGAGTGGGGAGGGGAAAGTAGGATCTAATTTTCGACTGTCCTCAGATAAAGTGGTTTCTCTGTTCACACCTTCCACTTGTACTACCCAGAGACATGACTTAGTGCCTAACTGACCTGTTTAGCATGGAGTAGATTGAGTGAGAAATACTGGCAGAATCAGGATTACATCTGCTTCCCCTTATACAAGGAATACTTTGCAAAAGGTGTGCAATGGGCCAGATTTAATAGATTTTCATCCAGCACTCTGTAATGTGCCCAGCACTGTTTTAAGCACTAGAAGATATTTGAAAGTTTGTAATACTAGCTGAACTATGAAATAA